ATAAGCCAGTTAGAGAGAGGGACACTTTACTTGGCTGCTTTTTTTGTAAAGGTTCTCACACAGGGGCCTCTGTTTACAATAGGGAATGTTTCAGGGACCACTGTATGTAGCTGGAACATCCTTTTTGTTAAAGAAAGAGCTAAATCTGCCTTTCTAGTATATTGTCTTCACTGGAACTCTGCCTCTAGCCAGTGGCACTTGCCTCATGCACATACCTATGTGTTTGTTTTTTTTTTTTCTTATCTAGGGGAAAAGACCTGAAGGAAAAGCATGAGCAGAAAGTTTACGAGCGTGAAATGCAGCGCATCACACTGCCACTCTCAGCGTTCACCAATCCTGCCTGTGAGCTTGTAGATGAGAACACAATTGTGGTGCACACGAACCAGACGCCTGTGGAGGAAACACACGATGGTAGCGGCCCGCTCATGGGGCAGGCAGGTACCCCTGGTGCCTGAGCAGCTGGGGCAGGAGAGGTGCAGGCTGAGCGAAGCTTCCAGCTTCCCACTGTGAGTGTGGGGGTTGTGTGTGTTCATTTCTATTTTGTTTTCTTTTTGATGAAAGCCAGATGAAGGTGATGCAGGGGGACAGAGCAATGGGCTATTCATCACAATCTGTTTGAGGGGCACCATTCAGTGCATGACCAGCTGGGGAGTGGTGGGGTGGACCCTGCTGCTTCCTCCCACCTATCTCCACAGAGTGCCAAGGAGCTGGAGGGGATGATGGGCCAGGCTCACACCTAGCCACAGATCCCATAGCCCAGAGTGTGGTCTTGGCTTCCTTTTTCTGTTCCTTTCCTATTTAACGGTGTGCACTGTTACTTACGTTTCAGCCTAGAAGCCCAGGAGGGAGCAGTACTGCAGGGACTGAGGGGAGCTTCACGTCAGACTTAGCTAGATAATTACACTCTGATTATAGTTCCTGACTTTTTGCTTTAGTGGCTGAGAGCTGGGAATGCTATCCAGAATCCTGCTACTAGAACAGGGGTTGTTTTTTTATGTTTGTTTTCCCCAAATAAGTATTTGAGGGATGGCTCTGGCCAGGAACAGTAGGTTTAGCCCTAGTGTAAAATTTGGAAAAGCTCTCTTCAAGCTCTCGAAAAATCCAGGTCTTCCAGGGCTGAGGCCACTTCTCTATTTTCCTGTGGTGCTACATGCACAGCCACACTTGTAGGTGTCCAAGTGGTCTGCTTCCTGCTCACTTACACAGATCAGGAGACCAAAAGGCCAGCAGCAGATAGTTCTGGAGTAAAGAAAAAAAACCTGTGCCCTTCTGTTACCTACAGCAGGTTGAGCATGGAGGATAGACATCTAAGTTCCCCTGACTTTCTACAGGGCTAGCTCTGGACAGAGTGGCCAAGTGAGCTGTAGAGGTCACGCTGACCATGAGGCAGCAGCTCCTGCTCTTCTGGCTGTAAGGGCAGCTGCTCTTGCAAGATCCTGAAGTTACAGCATGGCTTCTGGCCCAGCCCTCTTCACACACAGCTTGTGCAGCAAGCCTGCTTGCTTACAGAGCCTGGCCTTATAAGAGAGATTTTGTAACAACTTCTATCAGCATTCCAGGGACTTTGGAAAGGATGGCTGCTGCAGCATCTCCCCAATGGCACCGAGTCAAGGCCAGTTCAGGGAAACATCTATCCCCACCTCAGGGGAATCAAGCCATTCAAGTAAGTTTTCTAGCCATCTGCTTTATAGCTGAGGGCCTAACAGGGAATAGCACTTGGCAGCAGGGGTTTTAGTGTTAATGTTCGATTCAGGAAAGGGAAACATTTTATTTTTAAATGCCTTTGAATACCATTTCTTTGTAAATGTTTTAAATACCTCAGTATGAGAAGGTGCAGATTGTGCTACCTTGTATTAAAGCTTAAAAGAAAAATGCTCTGTAGATCTGTGTGGACTGTGGCTCAATCTCTACATTCCTTCCTGCCAGAGCAGCATCCTTTTGCTTATTGCAGATGTCAAACAGAGAAGGGAAGATGCTACTTCACTTTGCCAAGCCCAAAGGTAAAATTCCCTACGAGCAGTGCCTCCGCTCACCAGGACTGACAAGGGGTACAGAGCTTTATCTCCTTGCTGCCAGCAGCTAGCCTAGTATTGGGACTGTTCCTGAAAAGCAGCCGGGGGTATGCGAGCTGTGCTGACTAAGCAGGCTGGCCCGTGGGAAGACTGCTCTCAGTTACAGCCCCTTCCTGCAGTGACGCAGGTCAGTTGTGCTTTGGTGCCACTCAGCAGCAGCTCTATCCCTTGGGGCCTTGCACTGGAAAGTATGATGGAGACAGATCACAGCAGGTTAGAGGAGGCACTGACGTAGCTAGCATTTTCCTTCTGTCCTGGCATCAACAACTGCCTCTTGAACTACATAGTTCAGAATGCGATGTTTCCAAGAATGGGTTGTGTTTTTATCCCTGATTCAGAAAAGGAAAGTAGAGAGAGGCTCCATATTCTGCTGCCTTGTGTCAACTCTTAAACAACAACAACAAAAAAACACGTCACCTTCTTCCCTTTCCACCACTCCAGGTGACTAGGACTACAGCACACTTACACTGCATCTCAGTCATCCTGTGTGTGGTAGAGCCCTCTGGCTCAATAAAGGGAGTTCTTAGATTTTGTGACAACAGAAACAAGTTAGAGCTTGATGTTTTATGTACCACACAGACAACACAAACCTGTTTCCACAGCATACGTTTACTGTTTTTTAATTTAGTTAGATCATGGAGCTGTGCAAATCACAGTTCATAAACCTCACCCACACATGACCCAGGACTCTCCCCTTCAGGGGTCCCCTCACAAACCAGCTTAAGCAGGGAGGCGGGGAATCCTATTAACAATCCTGAATCCACTGGACCCAGTTTCAAGAGGCTCCTTCACTGACTCACAGCACGAGCCGTCCCCAGGGTTTCTAAAACACCACTACACAGACTAGCCCCCCCCCACCCCCACGCACACTTTGTCAGGTGATGACTGGTCCCATGTCATTTTACATGATACTTTAAATTAACAGGTAAGTGGTGGAAATCAAAGTAACTTAACACCCATTTCCCACCATTCAGCTGAGAGGGGTGGGGGGGACACAAGGAGAAAGCACACTAAAACTCCAGTTAAACCAAGAGGTTTGTAGAACTTAAGAGCAGGACTTGAGCCAGCTTTTTGTTCGGTTCTGACAACCACATGAGCTACTGAGACAGTAGCTTGCTTCCTTCTCCGTCAGCTGAAGAAGTGCTGGAAGAAAACAACCCCCACCCCCCTCCCAGTGACTCCAAGCCCTTTTTTCTTCCCCAAAGCAGGGAATGACCTTGAAGAAAGTTTCTGCTTGGCTTGGACAATCAGCTCAGGGGCTACAACAGCAGCTGCAAGAAGACCTTCAAAGGGAGCAACTTGCACAGCCTGCAGGGAAAGATGAGGTAATGGCAACGGAATTATTAGTTCTCCAGCTGCCAATCCTGGCTGGATGGGACAGTCTCCATCACTTTTCTGTTTACTACCAAGTCCATCCTTGAAGTAGCCTTGGGCACATCTCTCATGCACAAAGTCTGAGCCACTTCAGGCCTTCAGCTTCCTGAAGAGCACCTTCTGTGACCCTTTCTGTGACCTCATGTCTGCAGGCCAAGCACTCCAGCAGCTTCATCTCTCCGTGGATGAGCTCGGCCAGTGCCTAGTGCAGTTCTACATATTCAGGTTCAGATAATCTCATATAGGTTAAGGTCCTTAGGCAGGCAAGACTTGCTGTGCAGGCTCAGGGTCTGAAGATGTTCAAGTGCCTCATCTGCTGCCTGCCTGGGTCAGTATCAGGAGGGGCAAGCAGAGCTCAGTCTTAGTGTTTCAGGCTTTTGGAGGTATTCAGAGAGAGAAGAAGAAAAAACCCACAAAAACAAAACAAAAACAAACCAAAACAAAAATGCATACACGTTTCCCCATGAGAGTTGTCCATTTCCTAGGCTTTTTCACTCCTTATACACTGGAGGCCAAAATTTCAACAGGCTGGTTTGGAAAACACATGCACAAACATACACACAAACACACACACACACACACACACTGTCCTGGTAGGGCCTTTTGCCAGATGTCCAATTTTCCCAGCTTTCTGAGCAGGGTAGTCAGTGGAAGGAGTTCCAGAAGTTCCAGAAGTGCTGGTCCTCGCCCAGGAGAGTTTCCTATAGCAATTCCCTCCCTGGCAGACAGGCCGGGGTGGCTTCACAGCTTGCAGCCAAGTTCTAAGGCACCACAGTAAAGAAGCCTAAAAAGGCCAGAGAAACATTTCTCAAGCCAGAAAAATAGTGTTGAGCAGCTTTCATAGGTGCAGTTGGCAGGAAACAGCCCTTTTTGCTTCTGAAACATGCCAGAAATCCACAGTGAATCAGGATGTCCAAAAGGAGGAGGGTTGGGTGGGGAGAGAGAGGCAATGCAGCGAACGCACAGCACGGTGCCCCATTAATGCCCTGGAAGTGGCTGAAGTGCATCTCCCTCCCCGTCACTCAACTCCAACAGAAGTGGTGCAGGCAGCAGGACAAGCTGACTAGGTTGTGTTTTCAGGGAGCTTGTCACGGGTCAGTCCGTACTGCACACTCACGTTGTGGTCCAGCTCTTCCAGCTCAGACGGGAGGGGGATGGCGAGTTCTCCCAGGTAGAGAGAGAGAGCTTCGAAGGAATCTTCCAGCTTGGAAAAAGGGGGCCTAGAAGCAGCAGTGAGGAAATGTGAGTGGGGAAGATGAAGCAGAACAGCACGTGGAATAGCTGGGCCAGTTGCCCAAATATTATTCCCCCCTCCCCTGCTGTGCAGAGCAATCCTTCCACCAAGGGTGGAACACATCCTCCAGGCTTACTAAGAGGGGTGCTCCCAGCACCAAACCTACCTGCTCTCTGGTTCCAGTCTGCAGCAAATGGCAGCCAGAGGGAAAAAGGCTGGAGGACAGTCAGCAGGAACAAACTTTTCCCAGAACAGCTTAACGTTAAGGCCAAAATCCAGTGTGCGTGGGAGACAGTCCGGGTCAGCATAAACCTGGCCTATGATCTAGGGAGAAATGAGAGGTATGCTTAAGTACAGTAACAGTCCCAGAGCATTAACAAGCTGCGAACTCCAACATTAGGCAGGGACTCCTTCAAAGTTTTAGGTTGAAAGAGGAAGAGCAGAAATGCTGTTGCTCCTCTCCAACGGGACTAGCTGCACACAGGAATAAACAAGACACTGCATACAGGCAAACTTCATGTGAAACTTTTACAAGACCTGGCACATGGTTACTGTCGTAGAGGGAGGCCCAGACACCTCTTGTTTCTCCCCAGGGTTTTTCTGCTGGACAGGACAAGATGTACCTCCCAGGGAGCTCAACAGTGTTTCACTCTGATGTATGGTGCTGGGGGAGGATGCAGCCCCTCCTGATCACAGGTAACAAACACAACCTGCATCCCCATCCCATCTCTCTTCTCCCACACAATCTTACATCACCACCAGCAAAGCTCCCTTGTCATATGGAACTTGATCAAAGAAGTGCTGTAAATGCAACAGCACAACAGATTCTGAGCTGCTCAGTTACTGGCAAATTCAACTTACCCACACCCAGAGGGTAGGGAGTAGAAAGAACAACTGTAACCAATGCCTACAAGGTTGCAGACAAGAGCCAGTAGAGGAAAGGGATGGGTGGAACAAAGAGAAGCCTTGTCCCAGCACTTGAAGTCCCAGTTCTCGCCACATACCCCGCTGAGGTACACTCACCACCTACAGTGCTAGGGGACTCAAAGTACACTAAGAGGGAACATACCCATTGCAGAGAGCTGTAGGGTGCTCTGGGTCCAAAGGAGGCCAATGTCAATACAAACTCTCACATGGGAAGAGTGTTAGGTATAAAGCCTCATCAGGTATCACAGAAAGGGTGTTATTTGTAACTACTTACGCTTTTCTCTGCCAATAAACTCAGCAGTACAACCACATCCTGTAACTAGCTAGTGAACGCCTATTATGTATTTTGGCAGGGTTACTTCCTTATCTTTTTTTTTTTTTTTTTTTTTTAAGCATTTTAGCATCTTGGTTTTGGTAACAAGTGAAATGTTCATATGCTACCACCCCCTTTGTCTTTTATTTTTTCCTCTAGATAAAACAATTGTTTTAGTTCCACAAACAGATTTTCCGCGTTCCTAAAACTATTGCTCATAGCCACAACATTCTCCAAAATGAGAGCCCAGTACAGACAGAGCTCCAGATGAGGCCACAAAGATTTATGCACTGACATCTTCTGTCCCCTTCATCCAAACACTGAAGATGAAACTGTGCTGGTCTCTCCTGGTGTTCCTGTCAGTACTGCGTTCCCTGTACACATAACACCGCAGCTTTCATCTGTAATTCCACTGTCTTTTAAAACTGAAAATACCTTGCAGCTTAAGTGGTGCTCTCTGCTCTGCAGACAGAAAAGCCCAATATAATAGTAAGAACGTGCACTGACTCGAGATATGCTAAGCCAGCAGACTTCAGGGTGCATGCTTCATTAATCCACCTGCAAAGAAGTTTCGGTTTCCTCTTCTTTGAAAACATGTGCCATCCACAGGGGAGGCCCTGAATTTACTGAGATTATACAGCTGACTGTTCTTTTATTGAGGCAATGTGAATAAATAAATCACAATTTTGGGGAACATCTCTTCTAGCAAAATGGATACCAGGGCTCATTCAGAACCTGACAGAGAACAGATGCAGGGTAAGTTTTATACTCCCAGCCTAACTCACTGTGCTGTCACAGGCTGCATACTCAGCCACAGGGAACTGTCTGATACAACGTGTGGAAGGAGATGGTAATGGAAAAGGAAAAGTCCACTGAAGATGCCATGTGATGTTCTGGACTTACCTCACAAAGAACAATCCCAAATGAGAAGATGTCCACTGTCTCATCATAGCTCTGTCCTACAGGAAACATGAGGCATTCAGCTTTGTGACAGACAATTCCCCACCCATCTATTCCAGGAGCTGCCAGCATCTGTCTTGGGCTTGGCCTCCAAAGCTTAACTAAGCATATTTCCCAGAGGGCTCTCCACACAGGATACAAAGCAAGGTTTAAATCTGAGCAGGGTCAGTTGCCCGAAGACATGTATAGGAAAGTGCAGCTGGTATACATCACCTCCACTTATTTTAAACTCTGCTTCTTCCTTCTGCTGGAGAAGAAAAGGACAAGGCAGGGAAGCCTCACATACCAGAGGTCAAAGCAAATGCTAAGGATGACTGTGGAAAGCCCATTTCCATTGACTGCTGTTTTAGTGCCTCTCTACACAGCAGTAAGTCAGTGTTCAGCTTCCCCAGCAGCGAGTCCCTGCTGCAGTGACTGCAGAGGTAATAAATTACGTACCAGCAGCGCTTAGAATCTGGGAACTAGACTGGCTCCAGCACGCCACTCTGTGCGTACAGACACACCCCTCCCAAGCCAGCATCCGGTAAACAGCCTTTTTTGTAGAGGTGATGTCAGACTGCATTCTTGCTGTTCTCCTGACAAATGCCAGGTCTGACACAGCCTCTGAGAAGCAGCCTTGGACTCAGAAGGGCCTGTAGGCCTTGAGAGGAGGAAAACAGGAGAGTACCCAAGAAGGTAACGTGAAGAACTGTTGAATATTGGGGAGAAGAGCCAAGTCCTCTCTTCTCCAATGGACTACGTCAGGCAATATTGATCACATAGGCAGCCCAGCTGCTCAGCCTGGCCAGACAGACCTGCTCACTGGGAGGACATGGTATCCACTGTATTTCACCTTTACCTCAACTCCTGCTGGGACAGTTTTTTGCCCAAACGGACATAGTTCATCCTTAGTGCAACTGTGGGCTATATGCCAAAAAACAAACAAACACGGATTTCCCTGCACTTGGGCAACCCCCACCCTCACCTCAATCCCAAGATTTCAGCAAAGCTGGCAGCAGATGGCTTTTCCCTGGATCTAAGCAACCACACACATAAGCCTCATCCTGGAGTTTAATGACTCCCAGTTCAAGGGGCAGCTACAAAGCAAGTGGCTCTAACAGAAATTGTTCTTGGGTTCAGATTTGTTTCAGGCCTTTTCTATCTTCCCTGATATTGGACTGTAGGAAGTTTAGGTCTGCTGCCCTTCTGAAGAATCCTGCTATCTGCCAGAAACGTTACCTCTGATGGTACAAGGGCTTATCAGGGCAGGTACTGCAAAAGAAGTGCAGCTCAGGTACCTGTGTGTATAAATAAGCTTGTGTATTAGCAGGTCTAAAACCATAGGCTCTAATAGGTTTGATTGTTACTAGGGGCTGAGAGCTTTCAGTAATCCTATCATCCCTATACCTTGACACAGGCTGGCTCCTTGCCTGTGCCTTGCTATCAGTATCTTACCATTTAGCATTTCTGGGGCCATCCAGTATGGGTTGCCAACCACTGTGTAGCGCTTCTTCCTGTCACTTTTCCGCAGGGTTCGTTTCTTGGCAGATGGTTTCTCCAGAGTGGGCTTTTTTCTTTCCTCCACAATTAGCCGAGACAGACCAAAGTCAGCCACCACCACCGTCTTATCCTACACAAGGGATTTAGATTAAGCCACTGATTCTCCTCAGCTTCATTCAGGAGCAAAGAGGCTGCAATTCCTGTTCACTGTCAACTACACTGTAAAGACTACTAGCAAGGTTTTCTGCATCGAGCGTAGCAAGCTGTCTGGACAGGTATATGACACCCAATTCACAATTCCAACCTATCATTTCCTCTCATATTTTTTCCTTTTGTGGTCACTAGCATGAAACCCATTAACTTTGCTACACTTGCTGGGGCAAACTTGGACCTTTCCTTTCAGACCGTCCTATTCTACCTGGCCAGAAATTAACTGAGCCTTTCATCCTGGATCTCTTGAAGCCTAGATACTCATCTCATATTTCAGTCAAGTGAACAAGGGCTTGAGCAAATGAAGTTACACAAAAATCTTGTGACCTAAAAGCAGTTCAAAAGAGAGGGTACACATGTGCACACACCTGCACACTTGTCTGAGTCTCGAGCAGTAATAAAACAGTCAGCAAGTGGCTATAAGAACAGAGGCAGCTGTAGAGCTCTACATTTCATAGTTCAGATGTACTAACTTATAATGCAACTTAATAGATGCTACCACAGGAAAGGAGGGGAAGAGAACAGAATGAAGAAACGGTAAAAGCAGGATCAATCTGGGAAATCCCACATGAAGATGAAGTTCCCTTGTTTAGGGCACTAAGCATCTCTAAAATCAGTCCCAACCTGACAAGACGGGGCTCTGAACTCAACATTGTGTGGAGAAAACCAGGGTAGGAAGATGACAAAGAAGGGAACAGCATGCTGTGGAGAACAGAGGTATAGCTCACCAACTTAATTAGGCAATTGTGTGAATTCAGGTCTCTGTGAATGATGCACATGGAGTGCAAGTAAGCCTGGAATAGAGATAAGTCACTGTTAGGGATTTCCAAGCAAGTATGTCCCTTTACATTTACAGGCCTCAACAACTATTCGCTAGTAGTCACGCAGGATCCACAACCCCTCATACACCACACTGCTGAAGCTGCTAACCCTCACCCTGGAGGTTTGCTCAGTGATGAATGAACTGTCTGACTCACCATGCCAGAAGCAATTCCTTTGGCAAAGCTGACCTTCTGCTGCCAGGGAAACGGGTCCTGAAAGACAAGTCCTCAGTCAGGGTCTACATTACCAGCCAGCTGGCAACAGCGATTCCTCAACAGGGACTCTTACAGCAGTCAGAGAAATGCTATAGCCCCAGGAAGAAGGCCCTTCCTGCTCCAAGCCACCCACAGCTAAGAAAAAGCTTTTTCCACATAGCTCCAAAGCAAAAGACTACCAAATATCGTAAGGTTGGCACAACCACAGCACACTGTCAACCTTGTTCCACAATGGAGGTCTACTAGGCTTCTCCTCAGCACATACTCACCGCATTGCGGAGGAAGTCCTTCAGTGTGCCACCCTCGATGTACTCAGTGAGGAGATTTAGCTTCTTGTCCTTGTACAGTACACCGATGAACTTCAGCACGTTGGGGTGATCCAAGCTGCGCATCACTTTCACCTGGGAAGCAGACATCCCACCCCAAGGTGCAGAATGGAGTAAGTCCTGGCAAATTCTGTCTGCAGTGATGTGTGTGCTGCTCCTGCCCCAGCAGAGGACAGCACTCCCATCCTGTAAGTCACCTCCAGGCCCCACAGAGTACACTCAAACCCTAATCTTAAAGCAGTCAATTATGTGTTGCCTCTTCTTTTCCACACTGTGCAATTAACCTGATCTTAGTCTTTAAGGAGAGCATCCTTGGGTTTGGTTAACTTTTAAGAGATAGGAGTTCTCCAGGGCAGCTATCTGTTCCATATTGTGCATGCCAGGATCAGAATAGCAGTGTCAGCTGTTTAGGGAGCTGCCTGCTTTTAAGCTAAATTAGACTTT